CTTTCTCTCCGCCTTCATTTTCACATGGGCTAATTGATAAAGTGATATTGGAAACTGAAGAATCTATCACAGAGGCAGAAGGTTGTGCTAGCTATAAAATCATGCCAATGACTGAATGAATGGTTCCTGTGAGTGAGAAACCACACTTGGTTTGTCTGTTTGTATAGTCTGAGTGAAAGCAAGAAGAATAAAAATGCAGATTTCAGCTTCAGAACACTTGGAATTTGCCAGCTATAGGTGTCTGGGAAGCAGGGAAAGGAGGATGCTCTTCCAACACCACCAGTCCTAAACATGGTATTTCTTTAAATATACACAGGTAAAAACTGTGGCCAGGTCAACAACCCCTAATTATCAGAATTAAATAACTTAGGCATCATTACAATTATTCCTGCAGATGCCCTTCTGCCAACTGTTAAGTGAAGGTGATCTCTGTCCCTGTTTAAAAGGAGCAAGAGATTTACTACTCTTGCTCCATTTTTTCACTTGCCCCTTTGTCTCCCCAACACTGTTTTGTGGGCCACGTGCATATACTGCAGGACAAACCTAAAATGCTGCTTGTTACAACAAGTTGGAGAGGCCCATGGAAAACGTATAGCAGCAGCTGTACAGCCATTATGGCAGGGGCATTTTTTCTTGTCAATTTTGAGGGTTTTTCAAAAGGATCGATATGATCTCTGGGTGGACAGCTGGAAATTTGGGTACAGTATTTAGTTTAAAAGGGTTTAAACTAGTATTCTTCTGCCCATGAAAATTTTACTCCAAAACATTTCAAACCAAGACTAACTCTGTCTTCTGCTCCCCACTTCATGAAAGAATCAAATCTTTTCCCCGCTCCATCAGCTTTCAGCTTAATCCCCTGAATCTCACAGCACTTTAACTTATCACTCAGCTGTCTCTTGCTTCACAGCTGGTGGGTGTGACTTCCAGAAATTTACAGTTGGAGTAAAAATAAGACAGCTGCTGTGGTCCTAGACAGCTTTGGCCATGTTTGCCCAGCTGTGTAGATGCTCATTCTGCTGAGCATAACTTAAATTCTCTGTGGCTTGCACCTGTCTGAAGGCAGAAGTATCAGAGGGCAGGAAAGAGGAGGCAAAACCACACTCCAATTGCTGCTATTCTTCTTCCTTTCTATTCCTGTTGTTCAGTGTATGAAATTGGAAAGGAGCTACAGAAAGGCAGAAGGCAAACATTATGGTTGCCACAAGACCTTCCCATGTGTTCATGGGCTTGGCCAGGTCCCCTAGTGAAGTGTCTCTCTATCCTTGATAACCATTTTCTTTGGGCATTAGAACTAAGTTGTGCATCATCATCAAGACCATGGAAAGAAAGGTTGCCCACAATGGCAGTAGGTAGATGTAATGATAGTTACCAAATGAATAACCTGTTTAGACTGTAACTTGTTTGAAATAGAGGCTGTTTTAGAAGCCACATTCACAAAACAAGAAAAATTGACCAGAAAATGGGAAAAAACATCTATTCATGTGATCAAATATGCCTCAAAGACAAACAAAATAATAGGAAATATAACTCTCAACAGTCCCATTCAATATAGTCTGCTCCCAAAATGCAGAGAACACTAGAGTGATTTGGCTAGATTCAGAGTTTCTTTTGCAACTGTATTCAGTTTAAGTGACAATACAAAGACCCCAGGTTCTTTCAGTGCCAGTGTTCACACTGGCTTCTCAATCTGATGTAGTTCAATCCATGCCCAAATCCTTTCTTCTTTTGATGCCACCTCCCGCTGATTCCTTGCTCTCTTTTATGGTCTGCAATCAAGCCACTGGAACTGTTTAAAGGGTTCCGGTGGTAGGGGAAAACAAAGAAAGTTCTCTATACACATATAAACACACCATGGAAATACTATAGTCTGCTGGAATTAATCAGAGTTATTTTGACTTTTTAAATTAATTATTTTTTTTTGTCTTTGTGGAAGTAATCTAGTGCTAAACAAATGTAGCAATGCAGTGATAAGCTGATCTAGCACTAACTTGTTTGTTTTTAAAAAATAAACAAAAAATATGTCAGGGCAACTAGGGAGAGAGATTGTGGAGATGGGTGTTCCTGTTGTTCCAAAACATTATGCCCCAATTTACTGTGTCACCAGAAAACCACCTCAAGTCATGTCGTTCAGTCATTTTGTATGATGAAACAATCATACTGGCAAAACCCTGTTAGAACCATTATGGTTAAAAGAAAGCAGAAGCTCCCAGCAGCAGGTGAAAATGTCCAGATTGGAAAGAAAAAAGAACTGGCTGTTTTGCATTGACCTTTACATTAGGTGTTAATTGAAAAATACTTTAAATTCACCCATGCCAATTCTGGAGCAAACTGCAAAGTATTTTCTAATGTAGTTGCATGCTCAATGAGTCATGAATACTTCAAGAAAAAGAGTCTAATCTCACAGTTGTAGGTATAAAGAGAATATCTCTGAATTCCCCTGCTTTTGTTATGCCACTAAGATGCCCCAGAGGTCAGGACAGCAATCAGCCCTGTCTGCTCAGACCTTTCTCAAATACAAGAGACTCGAAATACCTCCTCCCCCTGGAAAAAGCCAAGCGGACTATTTAGCCATTCTGGTGTCCTCTCCTGTTTCGCTGTTCCTTCAAAAAACATAACCTTGGAAAAGGAGCAGGCAGCTGTGCAAGGTTATAAACTAGTCCGAGATGTAAAATATTGGTAAGAAATGAACCCAGCTGGGGTAGCTGGACAAGAGGGCAGTGAGTTTAGCAAACCAAAGAATTTTACAAAAAGTCACTGAATTGCCATATTCTTCCTTCTGGTGGGTTTATATGTTTTTTCCATCTTTGCCTGAAGCTACCTTTTCTCATGTTTCTGGAAGCCTTCTGATGAAGCACTGCCAAGATCTTCTGAAACAACTTAAATCAGTCTTGAAGTATAGCAGAGATCAGCCTTACTGAGTCACATTATCAGCCACCAGAATCAAGAACTTAGACAGAGAATCCTGTTTTCTCTCCTCAATTCCTGGTTCTATGGCTTGGTACCTCTGCCCATGGCTTTCCTTTTCATAAATGTTTTAATTGCTCCAACTGGAATTACAGTCCTCCTCAGCTTCAAGACAGTTTAGGAGGGGTAATTTCTGTCACCCAGGAACATATTTTTGGAGTAACTTTTTTGCATTCTAGTGGCTCCCCCATCCATCCCCCCCCTTTTTTGTGTGTATGTACTGTATATTTGTGGCTGTGGAAAAATATTTTTTGCTCCTCCCTTTGCAACATCCCACTCCACCCTTTTAGCAGCCTCGGTCTCCACCTTGTAAGTTTGCTTCTTTTTGGTTGTTATTCCTGAAGCAAACGCATCTTATTTCCAGCTCTACTGTGATCTTTATTATCTCCTAATGCAATAATTGTGTATCTTTAAATTTTGAATGTCTAACAAAATTCCTCTGTGGAACAGTTCTCTGTCAGGTGTATCTGTTTTATGGTGCACTACTATCAAGGTTCAAAGATGTCTTATAGGTATTTCTTAGAACATGTGAGTTCAAGCATGTGCTCTGAGAGCACATCAGGTAATGGGAGAGCACCTGTTCTTTTAAGATCTAGATGGGATGTAAAACACTAATCACATGAAGCTTTTCTCAGTGCTATGTCTCCAAGACACAAGAAAAGTTGACCTATCAAATCAGAGATAATAAAAAAAACAGCAACTACATATTAATTACCTGGTTTTGAAAATGGATTGCGTTCTGATCTGGGAACTATGGGGCTGGGCACCTAGGTGGCAAGTGCTGGATCTTGTAGAGAGAACAGTAACATGAAGACAGGTTTGCAGGGGTAAAAAAAACATGACCATAATGCAGTCTTATGTTGTGCTGAAGGGCTTAGTGAAGGGTACAGGAGTCTTTTAGACCAAACAATAAAGAGGCATCAGCAACTGCTGTAATAAAATATGCCTTTGGTGATTCTTCCTTAGTCCAAAGTTTGAACATAAAATGGCCAAACCAAATGCTTGTCATTTTAAGTGCACCCAATTTATCATGTAAATTTAAAAGCTTCTGGGTGTAATTCTCCCTACCTGACATACAAACAAGGTCACACAGAAAATCCATCGTAAATTATACACCATTCTGCGGTGAAAAGCAACAGGAGAGGAAAATGCAGAAACCTGGAAGCAAACGATAAATAACGCTATGACAAGTTCAGCTACTCCCAGGGCGTTTGTTTGCCAAAGGGAAACATTTCATATTCAATCCATTAGGAAAATTAGAAGTGAAAGAATGTACTAGTTTGGCTTAAAACACTGAAGACTGGCATAAAGCACCACCCATTAGGTAAGACCATCTAATCTTTTCCCTGATTTGACATCATGCCAGATGTGTGTGTCAAGGGGGTGAATTCCAATAATACTGTTGATCACTTCACTTCCTGTACTTTTCCTGTAATTTAATGCTTTGAAGCTGCTTGATAAAGGAAAACATTATTGATGTCTCCAGCAATATGCAGAACTTTCCTACAAGTGGTTACAATTAAACATATTTCACACAGAGAGCAGACCTAGCAATAGTTAACATTTCTATGATATTAATCATAATCCAAGTAGATTTTTTTTAAAAAAAACTTTCACTGAGTGCTGGGACATTTATTTCTCCTGATGGTTGTCTTAAGAGCCAAGAGGCTTCCCTGTATCACAGACTAAGCATTTTGACATCAAAATGGAGTATAACTGATTTATCAGGGTTTGTGTCTGAATACATGCACTTAATGGTAACATACCTGGTCTCTACAGGATGCCAGAGGTGACAACATACTGCTAATTTTATCACCAAGGCATCTGTGTGCAAATAGTATCCAGAGACTAGAAATTTAATAGGAGTGCCACCCATGGAAGGATACAAGGCTGTAAACCATATGAAAGCAAGAAACAATGTTAAATGTGCATTGAGAGGAACTGGAGGAAATAAAATACTACACCAGCCTGGACCAATCAGCTTCAGAAACTGATCTTCAGATCTTCTTTTGAAATGATACAGAAACATAAAATAATTGTCATTTCTACCAAATTTTATTCAAGTCTGTCAAACATCTAAACATACACAATGAGGCTTAACATTACAAAATATCAGCCCACCCCCTTTTCATTAACTTCAGAAAGGAAAGAAGTAAGAGCTCATAAAAGCTAGATGTACCCTAATGTAAGACAGAATGGAAAAGCAGAAAAGGTGAACTAACTGGATACAGTTTACAACTATGGCTTTATAAAGCATCTGAACAAAACTGAGGCTATAAGAAACGTCTGCTTAAGGAACAGCCCCAGTCATATATAATTAAAAGATTAAGTAATTAATCCTCACCTGAACCATGCCCCCTTTCATTCTAATACATAAATTATTACACAAGTCACTTCAGCCACATTGGCTCACCTTTAAATGTATCAAGACATCTTAAAATGACATTCAAATAGGAAATAAGCTTGTTTTTGGTTACAAAACAGGGATCTTACTAGCAAAATAGGTTACCAAAGATTTAGCACAATGCTCCTTATGCTACTTCAGTAACAGAAACCCTTTCTGTACAGTACATACCATGCTGACCAGGAATATCCTAAGGGTGACAAAAGAACCAGAATACAAAAGATCAGATACAGTAGAAGATTGGTTTAAGAACAGCTCTTTAACTAAAACAGTCAGAAGAAATGAATCCTTCTACCCAAGATAGTCTTATCTCTTGGTTACGAATAGAAGGAGGAGAATGTTTCTTAGCTGTCCTACTTCGTCCATGTTGCATGTGGAGCATCCACTCAGAACAGACTGTTGTTGGAGACAAGATCCTGGCACTGGGATCACTGGGCTGGTGCCATTTTATAGTTCTTAGAAAAACACAGATTAGCTCTAAGTGATCTGAGACTGATGGAGGTATGAATTTTGGGTGTATTGAAGTTGATAGACCACGGTGGCTCCTTCTAGCTTCATGAGCTGTGAATGTATCACTGAAATCCCTTTTTCTTCACACACAAATATCCCCAGGAAAAGATACAGTGACAATGTAAGATCAAATTTGAACAATTTATATTCAGTTTGGAGTTTTACGGAACTATATCTATGCTCATATATTGACGTTGAGGGTGGGCAGTTTGCTTCAGAGACTATAAGGTAAGTAATGTGTGGGTGTGTTTGTTTAGTCAAACAAATGAAGTATGAATTTTGCTGAACTGAAAAGAGCAATATCTGTTGATGGGAGGGGATAATCTTTCAGACCAGTGTATTCTAAGAACATCTGGGGACCCAAGGTTAGGAACCACTGTTTCAGATAATTTGTTCATTAACAGACAGGCCTCTCGAACATCTGGACTAAATAGCTGCATTATTTTTCCAAATTTACAAGTGCAAAGAAGAAAAAAGTGCAACTGTTTCAAAGTGGCCTTTATAAAGTGGACCTTTCTAAAGAGGACATGTTTCTTTTAGACACACAGATTACTAACTGAATCATGTCAATATAAGTATCTGCTTCCAGTGAAATTTCAGTAGTCTGCAAAAATACCTATTTTTAGCTCTCATGCTCATGGGTTCTTAAAATGACTTATTGAGATTGCTACCAGTGCTTTATAGTACTCTTCTTAATTCTTGTGTTTGTTCATGGTTCTATTTCTGGTATAAACTGCCTGAAGTCACTAAGACAGATTTAATACATCCAATCTAATCCAGAATTTAGGTCTGTTGTTAATCACCAAAGAGTACAATACACTCACGTCTAGATGCATGAAAAATTACTATATCTGTTGTGTCTGTATTAATATGGAATATACAAGTTCCATGAAAACAGTGAGTGTTAATGTTTCAAGGAACTGTTTGAAAGCAACTAATGCTCCCTGGTTTCCCACAATGTACACAAATAGTTTGAGTTCTAGTAAAACAAGTTGACTCCCTCCCATTAGAGTTGCCACAACATTTTCAGACATAAAGTCTGGCTATAATCTGCATGTTGTGTGCTAAAATTACTACACAGAGGGCTACCTTTACCAAACTGCTTTGAATTTTGACAAATTGAACACATGACTGACAGACAAGTAGTCTCTTACGTCATCACATCCTGGTGTTGGGAAGATATGGTAAGAACACATAGTACTAAGTTACAGACTCATTATGATATCCTCCTCTTGCATTTAGGACAAATGCCACAATGCTTTCCTTGTCAGAGACTAATCTGTATCTTGCCCAAACTCTTGCTTTCATCGAGCAAATGCTTCCTGAAATGAAGGCTCTCTCTTTTGAAACACATCCAGGCTTACCATACATTTAGTCAGCAATTTACAACTAAACTAGAAGTGTAGGAAACAGTGCAGACTTGCAAAACCAATTCTACCACACCATATAGCTGCAGCAACAACGGGTATGGATGGAGTAATCACAATGGCCCTGCTAACCTCCTAGGCTACCATTATTTGGACTACCTGAAGTAACCACATAAGCTAAGTGGTTTGTAGGCTTCATGTGCACTGAATTAAAGCCTGCTTCAAAACATTCTGCCTCCCCCTACCAAGACTATGAAAACTGTTACCAGCTGCTTGCAGTAAGATTCTGTGCACTAAATTGACTGCCACAATGCTGTTAAACTCAGTCCTTGCTGAGTGATTTAATACAGTGGAACAAGACTGAATGCCAAGGAGCTCTTGGCCCCTACTGAGCCAAAATTATTGAAACTATTTGTGCCAACCATTGATGCAATACTGCACTGTAGCCTGACACTCTTCCCCCCCAATAAATTATAGCATACCTTGCACCCTGCTGCTTCTTACATTTAGATTTTAAGAGCCTACTTACAACATGTGTCTTTGTGGGGAGAAGGGCCTACACACCTGGACATATTTGTAAAATAAATGCTCTTTATGAGGGTGCATTAGCATTCTGGCAGCATTATACAAAGGAATGTATCATTTTAAAATTGAAGCACACATTCTAACATGAATTTGCTGTTCTCGTTTGTTCACAAGAAAACCTTTGAATAGAACCAGGTGAGCATCCTGAGTAATATCAGAAGAAAGGTAGACTCCCATACACATTGCTATGATCATTCTAGCTTTGTAGAAGCCACTGAAAGTCTTTACTCCAGACTGCACTCTGTTCCTGTTTTCAAATCCCATTGTGCAGTTGGATGAGTATGGAGACGTTTAATACTATTTATATGAAAAAGGGGTGTGGTGGGGAAATGCTTTTAAGGGGGAAATGATACTAGAGAGCAGAGAAGGTTCCAAAATGAGCAGTGGACTTAGCTGCTGTTCCCATTCCTAGCAGCTGTAGCTGCACACAGATGGAAAAATATTTGGTCAGACACTAGCAGCCAGTTAGTGTGTTTGGCTCTTGGAGCCTCTCCAATTCCATACAACGCAGTTCAATTTACTTCTTCTTTGCATTGACATTTCTGCAGACCCAGTTCATGCCATCCTTCAAAAACAAACAAACAAAAACACAAAAGAGAGGAAACAGAAAGTAAGGAAATATTAGATGAGGAAAAAAGAACAAGCTATACCCAGATCCCAACAATCTCTTTCCATGTTGCTTTATGACCACACCTTTTCTGTTTGCTTGTTCACTCTCTCCATTTCTTACCCTGTATAAATGATACACGCCAGGCTTCTTGGCATCTAATTTGGCCCTCTGAGGTTTCGTTTCTCCTTGGCCAAAAGCTATTGGGATTTTATACTAGTGTAATGCAAATAGCATAGCTTTTGAAAGTGAATTGCCTCAAATTAAGAAATCACCTTAGAAATTATTTGTTGTACACCAAGTCTTGTGACTTAAAACACAACAGATAATGTCTACAGCGATTTCTTATCCTGATGTAATTCACCTCCAAAAGATACACCATTTGGGTTATGCTTGCAAACATAATGAATAGGATTTGAGGCACTGTTTAGTAGTTTTCCAGTTTTCCCTTTTAATAGTTACATGAAACTGCCAGAAGAGGTTGTCCAGAGTTCTGGAACTTGGTGTGACCCCATACTCTGAGGAAACACAATTTTTTTCTATTTAACTACACTGAAGCCATTCCTGTTCTAAACCAGTTTCTTATGCTAATGGATGAGATGAGGGCAAAAAGATTGAAACTTAATTTGGATAAGACAAAGGCACTCCTGGTCAATCAAAAGATAAATCAGGGAATAGGGATTCAACCTATGCTAGATGGGGGTAACACTTCCACTGAAAATCCAGGTTCACAGTTTGAGAGTATTTATTTATTTAAAATATTTTAACTGCCTTTCTCCTCAAAAAAGGCCAAAGGCAGTTTAGAACAATTAAAATACTGTATTTACGTTAGCAGCAGTGATTACATAATACTAAAAGGACCAATGAACACTATACCAAAAACATTAGCAACACCAAAACACATTCAATGCAGTAAGGTACAACAATCCATTTAAAACCCCACTTGGCAAGCTCAGGGAGAGCTTGGCTGAAGAGAAAGGTCTTTGCCTGCTTGCATAAGGACACCAAAGATGGGGCTGGTTAGCCTCCTGTGGAACAGAGTTTCAGAATCTGGGAGCAGCAACAGAGGTCCTCTCCTGTGTCCCCACCAAGTGTACATGTAAAGATGGCGGAACCAAGAGGAAAGCCTTTCCTGATGATCTTAACACTCAAGCAGATTCATAAAGGGAGATGCAATTCTTGAGCCTCCTCTGTGCAAGACAGCTTGGGCCCAAGCTATTTAGGCTTTATAGGTTAGAACCATCACTTCTAATTCTGCCTGGAAACAGATCGGCAGCCACTGGAGCTGCTGTAACAGGGAGGTTGTGTGATCCCTGTGTCCACCTCTAGTTAGCTATCTGGCTGCTGTGTTTTGGACTCCCCCCCTCCACAAAGTTTCCCAACACTTTCCATAGGCAGCCTCATGTAGAATGTGTTTGCTGGGATGTAACTAAAGGCATATGTCATCATGGCCAAATCAGACATCTCTAGGAACGGGAGTACTATACTCCTTGACTCACTTTTGAGCCTGGTAATCCAGGTCTCAAGCTGTGGTGAAAAATACTTCTACAAGTTAAAGCTACTGCACTAGCTGAGCCATTCCTTGAAACGGCCAATTTGGCTACAGGGACACATGTCTTAATTATATCCTCTTTGGATTATTGCAATGCACTCTGTGTGGGACTGCATTTGAAGACAATTTAGAAACTTCAACTGATGCAAAATGTTGCAGCTGGACTGTTGACTGGGGTTGGTTATAGAGAGCATGTAACTCTCCTGTTACAGCAACTTCACTGGCTACTGGTCCCTTTCCAAGCCCACAGTGCTGGTTATGAGCTACAAAGCCTTATATGGCATGGGTCCAGGCAATCTAATTTGACTGTATGTTCACATATAAACCTCCTCAGGTTTTAAGCTCTTCTGGGGAACTCTGATCCCACTCTGGTCACCTTTACAGGAACATTTGACAGGGACCTGAGAAAGGGCCTTCTTGATGGCTGGTCCAGATTAAAGAATGTCCTCTCCCATGTGGCTAAACTGGGTCCCATCTCTCCTTTGCTTTTGGTGACAATTGAAACCACTTTTATCCAGACAGATCTTTAATATTTAACATACTAAATACCCTATGCTTGCTACTATTATATCATTTTAATTTTTAATGTTTTTACAGTTGTAATTGTTTGTATATTATACTCTTCATATTTCCATGTTTAATAACTTTTTAGTGCTTCATGTATCTTGCCACAATTTGTTTTGGTTTAATGATTTATGAGCTGACCTAAGTCTCTCCATCAGTAGAAAGGTGGCATAGAAGTGCCATCCCTCTCTCCCTCCTTCCCAATTCTGAAACTCTGTAATGCCTCTGCCAGGGCTGTGTTACTATCAGTAAAAACTTTAAGCTGAAATATGGTATTTTCAAATCTCCGTTTTGTCCTTGGCCCTGCTCACCAGTAGTATGGGTAATCAAGTAATAGCCAGGAAGTGGGATTGTATAAACATATGAAGCTGCCTTATGAAACGAAACAGTGAAACGAAAGGAAAACTGGCCAATGACCCTTCAAGATTCCCAGTCGTGATCTTTCCACACTAGCTAATGTTCTTCTAAGTGGGAAGTTTGGGATTGGGCAACATAGGCCAATAATGTATCAAGGAGATTCACACTTACACATAATGGAAGTCCAGGAAATGATATGCAAACTGCACTGTTGTACAGTCGTGCCCCGCTTTACGATTACTCCGCATTACGACGAATCCGCTTCATGATGACATTTTTGCGATGGTCTAAATAGGGCTTTTTCACTTTGTGATGATCGGTTCCCTGCTTCGGGAACCGATTCTTCACAAAATGATGTTTTTTTAACAGCTGATCAGCGGTTTCAAAATGGCCACTGGGTAATTAAAATGGCTCCCTGCTGTGTTTAGGGACGGATTCCTCGCTATACAGGCAGCGAAAATGGCCGCCATATGGAAGATCTTCGCTGGATGGTGAGTTTTTAGCCCACTGGAACACATTGAATGGTTTTCAATGCGTTTCAATTGGCTTTTTATTTTCGATTTACGACGTTTTCCCTTAACAGCGATTTTCCTGGAATGGATTATCGCCGTTAAGCGAGGCAACACTGTATTACATTCTTAGTCAAGTCCACAAAACCACTCTGCTTTCAAGGAGGATTTGAGCAACAGGTTAATTTTTACAATCTTTCACTTTACTTTTAAATATATGAGCGATCAGTGTATCCTGCTGGGCAACCTGTGGTTACTCAGCTACATGGAGTCCATCAAGGGATGTAACACTCTAAGTTCCTATGTAGCTGATTCAGTGGTCACTGTGGACAACATTCCAGGAAAAAGTTTGAGGAGCGCTTCCAAAAGTAATTATAAAAGAATTTTGGACTTGACATTGTTTTCTGTTTCCCCTGCCCCACCACTGTCACAAGAACCTGCACCTCCTTCCCATCTAATATGTATTACTTCTTGAGGTGTTCTGAATTCTGCAACTGTTTTGTGAGCTACATTCAATGTATTTGCATTTTCCAGTGCTTGCAACAGTCATGCCAACTCACTTTGTTTTACCACATGTTTCAGAAATCCGGTAGCAAAGAACAAGAAGAGCCTTTCTGTAACTAGTTCTGCAATTCCTATCAAAGTGAAATGATCATATTTGCACACATAATTATGTACAAGGTAAGCAGCATTCCTCAGTCATTTTCAGTGTGCCTTTCTTTGTTAAAGCAGAACAGCTGAGATAGCTTTCAGTAATAAATATCTGCTGACATACAGTACATTTGATATTCAGCACAACCATCTCATAAACAATAAATCCTCCCTTCAAAACAACCACCAGGCATCTTGTTTCCCAGGCAAAGCAGACCAGAACTATATAGGTAGATGCAGACACTGCCCAATGCCACAAGAGACTTCAGCCTAAAGATCCTGGGCTACCCAAATTGCACAAGGGAGGCTCATAAAGCAGAGTTTATGTTGGGATTAACTGTGTTTGCAAGCCTGACTGTATAGCAAGGGCAAAAGAATGACAAGGCAATATACAGGAAGAAAGGTGAACTCTAAATGGCTTTTCAATTTGAATCTAGGTCACTTTACTGTGACACTAGGAAATGATCCAAAAACTCATTTTCATAGCACAAGTTGATTTAGAAAGAGAACTGTGATGCTCTCTAATTGGCTTTGAGGTAGAGTGGTGAAGAAAATGAGTGTGTGAAACTAAAAGTCTCAAAGAAAAAAAAGTGTAAATTTGCTTGGATTAGAAAGAAACACCCACCCACATTTTATGTACTGTATAGGTAAAGTAGTTTCTGCATTCATTCCAACCCCCCCAAAAAAAAATCAAAAAAAAAATCAGCGTCACTATTTAATGATGAGAAAAGGAAATTGGTTATTACAGAAACAAGAGAGATTTGCAAAGTCAGCAAGACTATTCATCACATCCCTCTATCACATAACCAACAAGACTGGAAGCTGATCTATACTATGGCTGTGGCTCTGGCTTTGGGTGTGTGGGCAGCTGCCTGGAACACACATTTCAGTCCTCCAAAACGAGGACAAAAAGTCAAACTGCTCCCTATATACCACCCAGCATCTGCTGCCTGATGCAACTGTCTCAATCGGTCTGACAGTCCAAATCACCTGCCATTCAGAGGCATATTACAACTACACAATGCATTTAGCTACTGTAGGTATAAACTGCTGATAATCTTATCCACCATGCATTTGTCTATATCCTTTTGGAAGACATCTAATCAGGTGACAATCACCACCTACAGAAGCAATTCATTCCAGAAGTGAATTGTGCTATGTGCTCAAAATGTATACAGTTTTATTTCTTCTCAACCTGCTCTCCCTCAGTGTCACTAGCTGACTTTAAGTGCACTTTTCACTCTTCTGGCTGTGAATGCTCAACAGAATTCCAACAGCAATCAATCCCAGGTGCAGTCAGTGATGATGCACATCTGAGAAGAGAT